TGCTGCTCCTGCCATGTCCTGGCTGTGGCAGGGAAACAGAGCAGTGGGTCCCTCTGCTCCTCTCTAGTTCCTCAGCAGCACCAGGGAATGTTTTGGGTCCCGTTTTCCTCTGACTCCTGAAGTTTCACAGCTTTTCCATCACATCTGAGGTGTCATTGTGCCTCCTGCCCTTCCCATGGTGTAGCTGAATTTGCAGGGATTTAAGGATCTGTGGTTACTGTAAGATCCCTGATTTTCATCCTTCTCCTGGTGATTCCTCCCAGTTTCCCAGTATAACCACACCAGGCCCATGATGGGAGTGTTGGTGTGTCAGAACCAGAATTGGTCTGGATGATCCTCATGGATCCCTTCCAACTCAGACTATTGTGTGATTCAGTGATTACAAAACCTGCCTGGAGTTGGGSTGAAGACGTGACTCAGTTGTTTTGTTTTGTGTTCTGCCCTGACTTGTGTTTTCTTCAACTCGTGCTCTGTGTCACTTTTTCATTACACAATGAAGGGAAGCACTGAGAAAAGGCAGTTCAGTAAATGAGACACCAGGCTCAGCTTTTTGTAGGAAAGAGAATTCAACATTCTTGGGATTTTTGTCACAGCCAAAATGGAAGAGATTCAGTGCTCTTGTTGCCACACAATCTCTGTTTTGTTGAGWATAAGCTGAGTTGTTTTCTTACTTAATTTATTACTTATTTATTATTTAATTTCTGACTGCAAATACCTGGTGCAGTTTGCTGGGTGTTTGACCACACTCACCTTTCTCACGTGGCTCAAACTGATCTATTTGAACAAGTGGATTTTTTTTTTGAGCTCTGCAGGATTCTTGAACAAACCTAAAAACTTCAAGGTATTCCAGACAGAACTTCAAAAATAAGACTCTGTTCACTTCCAGTCTCTTAAACTTTACTCAGTGTAGTTTTTATTTATCATTATAATATTAATTATTTAGAATTTATTATTGTTGCTTATTATAACAAGCAAGTGCAACAGAATAGGAACTTGAATTATTTGGGTTAAATCTTTGAGTCCCTTGCCAGGAAAAGTTTGTAATTATAAACTTTAAAAAAAAAGTTTATTCTGTTGTAAATTGGACCATCCAGAATATCAGATTATCCAATTCTGAATTTGAATCTCTCCAGGCCTCACATTCAGAGCTGCTCTTTCCTCGGGGACCTATGGGAAATGTGCTTTTCCTGTGCCACAGCTGCAGGAAAAGAAAAACTCCGAGGTTTTCCAAATCCACAGAGCTGAGCAGAGCCTTGGGATGTGATTTGGCAGCTCCAGCACAGCTGCACATCCCAGGATAACCCTCTGGAGCACAGTTCTGGAGCACTGTGGTGATTTTACTGACAGGAACCYCCAAAACCTTTGCAAGTTGAACATTTCCTTTCTGGCTTTATTCCCAGTCCAGGTGCACTCGATGTTTTCCCAGTTTAATCCTTCCTCCTCCATAACCTTCATCTGTGGAGCAGGGAGCAGCCCCGTTCCCTTTGATCTTTTTTTTTTCTCTGCCCTCCTTTCCTGAGATTCTTGAGGCTCTTGGAAATGTTTGCTGTGGTTTGAGTGGCACCAAGGGCTGTGCAGGGAATGGGGATTGCTGATAAGGTGCAGGATAACATTCCCTGTTTCCCTGCCTATTCCTGACAAGTTTCCCTATTTTTTTTTTAATTTTTGTTTTGGTTTTTTGGGGTTTTTTTTTAGGTGGTGTTGTTTTTATTTCATTCCAGGATTGGATTTGCCTTTTGGGACTTCTTAACTTTGTCCTCCTGTGCCAAAACTGAGTGTCCTCCTCACTCTCTTGTTTCCAWCTGCTGAGCTTTCCAGGAGAATCTTTTCCAGCAAAAGCTGCRTCTTAAAAAGCCTTTTCAGTGAACTGGGTTTATGTTGCAAGAAGTTGTTTTAATAATTATTTTAATTCAGTTTTTTAGGATAGAATAGTGACATCAGTAAGGGATCATTACAGGTAGGGCTCATCCTGGTTGTGATCTCTAATTAAATCCAAACTGGAATTCTCTAATTAGGCTCTCCAAAGGCCAGGCAAACAAATGAAGGTGTGTGGGATTAAATCTCTGCCTTTCATCCACATTTTTCTGCTTTATTTTCTGGAAAACAGCACTTGGAATAACCCTCTCTTTATTTTATATTTACTTTTCACTATGGAAAGTTCTTCCATGCTTTGTGTAAAATTTGAAATATTCTTGTTCAGACAAGGTTTTATTTCACTTCAGGGCCAAAGTGGTCAAGAAAATTTTGATTTTAGTGATCACAGTCACTAAAAAATAAACAAGCACTGGTTTAGCACAAAAACCTTCTGTGCTAAAAGTGCCTTGGAAGTGATTTTTTGGTGCTAAATAAGTGCTCCAGTGCTTATTTTGCCTGTTTCTTGCATAAAAAGTGACACAGGTGGAGAAAAAAAAGTTGTATTTTAGTATATTTCTGTTTTTTTAACCTAGATATTAGTTGGCAGGGCTGTCCTGAGGGAATTCAGGTCTGAAATAACAAAATGTTTTGGAAGTTTGAAGGTCGGTAGTGCAGAGGTGGAGCTGCAGCAGCCCAAGCTGAGGAGATGGGGTTGGGAAAGGTGGAAAAGGGGAAGGTTTGAGCATTCCCTGCATGGTTCAGAAATCAGAGTGGGTTCTTCCCTCTTATTTTTGGTCTTATTTCTGTGTAATAGCCATCTTCAGAAAAAAAAAGGAAAAGAAACAGTGCAGTTAGCATGGACAGAGGGTTGGGAGAGGAGAAAGATCCAGGGAAACCCTGCCAGGRCCTGAAGGGATGGAGGGACAGGAGCCAGGGAATGGGGTCACACTGCCAGAGGGCAGGGATGGGTGGGATATTGGGAATTGGGAATTGTTCCTGGGAGGGGCTGGGATGGAATTCCACCCCTGGATCCCTGGCAGTGCCCAAGGCCAGTTTGGATTCTGGGATTTGGAGCAGCCTGGGACAGCGGGAGGTGAATTGGGATGAGCTTCCAGGTCTCTCCCACCCCTCCCAGTGAGGAATTCCATAATATTCAGCTCGGTTTATCCCCTCCTTTCCTGGGAAAGCTGTGACAGTTTTGAGGCAGGAGCTCAAGCAGCATTTCTCATTTTGCCAGTGGCAGCAGCAAACAATTCCCAGCCCTTCCCAGCTGCTCATTCCAGTGCTCTCCCCTCTCTGCACTGGAAAAATTCTGGTGCAGCCACACAGCAAACCAGCTCAGGGAACAGTGATTCATTGGCCTTTGAATTCTTGATAAAAAACACCCCGAGCAGCACATTTTGCTTTTCTCATTATTTCTATAAAAGTGAGCTCGAGTCTAATGTTCCCACATTAATTGGAGAGCTGCAGAGGACAAGTCATCCCGTGTTTTTAAAGGTTATGTTCCCTCAGAGCTGAAAGAATCATGGCAAACGTGTCCTCCCACATCTCTTTCTTCTGATGTGTCCATGTCTCAGCATCTGTGAAGGATTTATCCTTCATAATTGTTCCTGTCAGGGAGAAAAGCAGCWGCTGCTCAGTTTGTCACCCTGGCAGCGAGGGAAACTTCCAGAACTGTGAGAGTTTGGACAAGGACAGGGTTTGGGGGTGCTCCCAGAACTGGGAGGGATTTGCCTTTGGCATGGCTCCATKTGGGAATGTGCTGGTRTTGCCTTGAAAGGCCAATTTTTAATAATGACACAGACAGATTTAGGGGATAAAAAGGGTTTTACCTCGGGATTTGGGATCCCAGGTGCACAACTTGATGGCAGAATGNGCCAATTTTTAATAATGACACAGACAGATTTAGGGGATAAAAAGGGTTTTACCTCGGGATTTGGGATCCCAGGTGCACAACTTGATGGCAGAATGGACCCCCATGTACAGCACGGACACAAATTTTATAATTTCAGGAATCAGCATTTCTATCTAGGATTCCTCAATAAGATACAAGTTTTATAATTTCAGGAATTAGCATTTCTATCTAGGATTCCCCAATAAGATACAAGTTTATAGATTTCAGGAATTATCAAATCTGTCTGGGATTCCCCAATAAGATACAAGTTTTATAATTTCAGGAATTAGCATTTCTATCTAGGATTCCCCAGTAAGATACAAGTTTTATAGATTTTGGGAATCAGCATTTCTGTCTAGGATTCCCCAATAAGATACCAATTTTATAGATTTTGGGAATTAGCAAATCTATCTAGGATTCCCCAATAAGATACAAGTTTTATAATTTCAGGAATTAGCATTTCTATCTATGATTCCTCAATAAGATACAAGTTTTATAATTTCAGGAATTAGCATTTCTATCTAGGATTCCTCAATAAGATACAAGTTTTATAGATTTCAGGAATTAGAATTTCTATCCAGGATTCCCCAATAAGATACAAATTTTATAGATTTCAGGAATTATCAAATCTATCTGGGATTCCCCAATATGATACAAGTTTTATAATTTCAGGAATCAGCAAATCTATCTAGGATTCCCCAATAAGATACCAGTTTTATAGATTTCAGGAATTAGAATTTCTATCCAGGATTCCCCAATAAGATACAAGTTTTATAGGTTTTGGGAATTAGCATTTCTATCTAGGATTCCTCAATAAGGTACAAGTTTTACAGATTTCAGGAATTAGCAAATCTATCTAGGATTCCCCAATAAGATACAAGTTTTATAGATTTCAGGAATTAGCATTTCTATCTGGGATTCCCCAATAAGAAACTTCACAAATGCAGTGATGTCCCCCTATTCTAATGAATCCTGAATGAGGTCAGAGCCCAGTTTACACAATTAAGCCTTAAAATCAGTGTCAATGAAGGGTTGGAATGAGATGAACTTTAAGRTCCCTTCCAACCCAAATCATCTCATGATTCCATGAAATATTAATTAAGGATCCATTCTATTAAACTGATAGAATCTGAACGGAATAAATTAATAAATCCCTTAATCAATCTCATTTTTCTTTCCAGAAAAAGCTACAAATGAATACAACACCAGTGAGGATTGGGGGCTTATCATGGATATATGTGACAAAGTTGGAAGCACTCCCAATGGGTAAGAATTCCATGAAAATGTCACGGAAAACACATCTCAAAATGCTCAATCTGACAAATCCATGGAGCTGGCTTGGAAATTCTTGGAAAGAAACGTTCCAGTAGGATTTGGAATTTAACAATTTGAATGTACTGAACACATTCCAGTTTTTTTTCTGGAGTTTTGCATCGAGTCATTCGTGTTTAATGATCTGGCATCCGTTTGGGGGAAAAAAAAAAAAGGGACTGTGCCAGTGAAAAGTGAAATAATTTCTGTGTAGAAAAATATCTGGCAAGACCAGAGGATTTTGATGGGATTTTTCTGTGTTTG